ACTATGAAAAAAATACAGTTACACAAAAGTGTTCCACTGTAAAGATGGTGTAGATTGTTTTGTTGCAACCTGAAGTGTGAAATAAACTTGTTTTTTTGTTTTTTTTCTTTGGGGGGGCGGGTTGGGGGGCGTGGAAATTTTATTGTAATCCAAAGGGGGGCCCAGAAGAAAATCTTTGGGAACCACTGACATAGCCAAAAGGGTACAAGAAGCACCTTAAGTGCTACACAATGACGTGACAAGCCAGTGTGCTCTGTGTTGACGGAAGTAAACATGGATGGTAGTGCTGGAGCCCATCTAGCGATCTTTTATAACATTAAAAACACAATCTTTTCAATGTGGTTAAACATAAATACTACTGTTCTCATCATCATCCACAATGGTTATTGTTTTTCTTGACGCTTCTGTGTAGCAAGACGCACAACAGTGACCTTTGTTAAGTATTAATGAAGCTCAGGTTGGATGAATGCGACCTGGCCGTTCAGACACGGGTCGCATTTGATCAGATACGAATCGGATTCAGGACCACATAGCCAAGGGGCCTGGGTAACATGGGAAAAAATTGGATCCATGTTTTTCAGGCTGTCTTGAAAAGATCAGATGCAGGTCCCATATGGACACTTCAGGCTGCTGTGTGAACGTAGCCTAAGTCATACCCCACCCACCAGATGCTATGCAGATCTCACTGGGCAGCCAAGATTTTTGTGACTGCGCTGGCTGTGCACACCAGCAGGGACAGTCAGACATCCGCAGATAACAAAAAAGGCAGGTCGGAACAAAGGCGGGAGATAAAATCAGGGACAATATTTTCTTAGAAAAAAACCCCATTAAGAATAGATCTGCTTTTTTACCTGCTGTTTGGATAATTCATCTTTCAGGGACAACAAAAGATATAAAACCTACAATAATATTCGTTATTTCCTTTCAGTTTTGTTCTTGGTTCTTACCTCTGAGCCGGCTGTGTAGAAACCAGTGTGTTATGACTCCCCTTGAGCTCTAATGAAAACGCTATATCTCTTAATATCTGTACAGAGGTACAACTGGGCTAAAAATAGTCTGACCAGGAGCAAAGGCCTGTGCAGAGGAAGCTGCTGTGATGCACAGACAAAGAAATGAGCATTTCGAGCTCTTATAACTGCAATGGGAGATACATTTTCTGTAAACTGGCACGAGTAGCTGGTAAAAGCAGTACATAGTTCATGTTTAGGAAGATATATTTTTGTGTTCGTAGACAGACCTGGGTTTGCAGGTAACGAGGGGATTTAAGCTCCAACAATTCCTCTTTGTTGACAGTAGGAGCACAGCAACAAAATACCTGCTGAAAGCCTGCTCTGAACCTGCCGAGAGAGAAACACCAGGGATATTTCTCAGTGGGTCGGATTAATAAACAGAGAGGATTGTGCACTCATACCCAGATTACAGCCAACTCATATGAAATGGAAACAGATAAACACCCACGCTGACAGACGACTCGCCTTTTGGACGGTAAGCAGCTCACCCTGATAAACCCACCTGCTGTTTAGGCAGTAGTAGATGATGGGGTTGTACATAGTGGAGCTCATGGCCAGCCACATGATGGTTAGGTAGACCTGCTGGATGTAGCGCTCCTCAAACAGTTCAGGGAAAAACTGGTGCAGCAGGAAGTAGACATGGTAGGGCAGCCAGCAAACAGCAAAGGTGCACACAACCACGATCATCATCTTCACCACCTAGCAGGGGAAGCATAATCTGCTTAATCTCCTCAGCTGTTTGGTGTCTACATTTTTTACAGGAGGATTAGGACGACATTGTGTTAAAAGATGTTGTGCAGTGATAAAGGCTGTGCTGTTGTGTTGGGTCACCTTGCGCTTGGCCGTGAGTTGCTCCGCGTAGTGTTCGGAGGAATCTCCGGGAATCTCGCTCGCCCAGAGTGTGACCGCCACCGTCATGTACGCCCATCCCATAATGCACAAAGGCAGGAAATAGATCAGCACCGTCACACACACATAGTAGCTGCAGCAACAGAAACAGATATAAAAAAAAGAAAGCATATCACATCTGAAGGAACAGCTAACACTGCAAAGGCCTGTTATAATTTATCCATCTATTTTCCGTCATGCGTGTCCCAAGCGGGGTTGCGAGTTGTGCTGGTGCCTATCTCCAGCTGTCTACACCCCGGTACACCTAGGACAGGTTGTCTGTCCATCACATAGAGACAAAAAGGACAAACAACCATTCAGATACACAAACTCACACCTAAGGAGAAATTAGAGAATCCAATTAACCTTACAGTCATGATTTTGGACAGCGGGAGGAAGCCGGAGTACCCAGAGAGGACCCACGCATGCAGAGGGAGAATATGCAAACTCCATGCAGAAAGACCCTGGATTTGAACCCAGGACCTTTCTGCAAAGCAGCAGTGCTACCCACTGCCCCAATGAACAACTGTTATAATTCAATATTTTTTTATTGTTTCTCTGAAAAAAAAAAAAAATACAGAAAATAAAAACCTGTTAACGCTTTCTTTTACAGTACATTAATAACAATAACAAGGTAATAACATAACAAGTCACACAATAGTACTTGGTAACAAAAAAAAAAATTTTGGTAATTACCCCAAAATTAACGTATAATAATATTTGAAAGTAGTTACCTGCATTTGATTACTACAATTGTATGTTACTATGCAACATTGCAGACTTTTGGTGGATAATTACCATTATGTTACCACACAACAGTTTCTATTATTTCTTTATAAGCCATTTCCTACCAATGGCTTACAAAGTAAATTGTAACTTGTGATCGGGTAAATAAAGCGTTATAAAACTGAACTCCAGTTACATATAAATAAGAGTTTAGTTAAGAAGATCGGATTGCTGTGTTCTAGGTTTGTTTTTCTGTTATATGCCAAGTAATAAACTGCATTTTGCTAGATAATAACACGTTAATTTATTGCTGTCGGTGAAATGACTGAGTAACCTGGTAATAAGGGTTTGAAATCTAAAAAGTCTGACGTTACCTTATCCGCCTAAAATTCTCAAAATTCTCTATAAAGTGTTTCTTGTTACTTAGTAATGTATTGTAACTTGCTATGTTAGTACTAGGGCTGGGTAAAAAAATCTATTTCATCGATTTTGAATCGATTCCTTTACATTTTTGCAAAATCGATGTCTAGGAAATAAGATCGATTAGTTTTATAGTGACCCGCGTGACGTTCACATTCAAATGAGCAGGAAAGATGCACTCAAAATAACTTCAAGCCAGACAGCTGCAAATATAGCAAATAGGTTGACTGAAGACATTAACAAATGGGGGCTGACCAGCAAACACCCTGTAGTTGATACAGACAACGCTGCAAATATGGTTTGTGCATTAAAGATAATGCAGCTCATGCATGTCTGCTGTGTCACGTCTGCTTGTTCGAGTGAGGCTTCACTTTTTCCCTTTTCAAAAACAAGTTTGCACTTTTAAGACAGTTTTGTTCATACCTCAATTTTAAACAGTCTGATTTAAAAGTTTGTACTTTGTGGTTAATATGACAAGAAAAAAATAAAATACATGAGTATTTTGAAACACAGTTGAACCACATTATTTTAAAAACAGATCGAATCGAAATTAATCGATTTTAGGGTTGTCACGATACTAAACTTTTCAACTCGATATCGATACTAAGGAAAATATTCGATACTCGATACCATTTTCGATACCACAAGAATAAAAACAAAGACTCCAAAATTCTACATAAATATTTTCATTAATAAATAAAATACAATAAATAAATACAGGTGCCACTGGTGGTAGCACGGTATCGATACTTTTAAAAACGAGTATTGTATCCAGATACAACGTTTCAGTATCAATACTTTTTTGAGTATCGATACTTTTGACAACCCTAATCGATTTAGAAATGTATGAATCGAAACCAAATCGATTCAGGACTTTGGCGAAAATACCCAGCCCTAGTTAGTATCATGTTATTAATGTACTGTAAAAGAAAGCTTTACCAAAAAAATCACCTATTTGAAGACCTTAAGATTTATGAAAATCAACCATACTTTGCCCAAATTTTCCCCGTTTGAATTTTAGCATTTTAAAGGAATAAGAAGTAGGCGTGGTCAAACGCCCCCTAAAATCTGATAGGCAAAACCATAAGTCGCAGAAAATCTAAATTTGGCAGACATGTTGGTCCCCCATAGTCATGAAATCATGTCAAAGTCTCCTAACATCATATCCTAAAACCAACAGGAAGTCTACCATGTTCGGTCAAAGTTTGTTTAGCTATTTTCTATTTTTGTAAATGCTGAACTTTAACAAACTGCTAGGGTTTTTGAGCTTTCAACTTCTGGAAAAAAGCCTACAATCAACTCAGGTTCACTAAAACTTGATAAACAGACAGAAAAACATTTCAGGTCTAATGAGTATCACTTTGAGCCTCAGCTTTCAAATGGTTGGATAAGATGGTTTGGTAGGTGTGGTGTGATGGTTGTAAACCTCTGAGCTCTTACTAACCGAGCATCACTTTAAAACTGTATGAATTAATCAGATTCATTTATTCACATTGTTGAAATAATTAATTTGGTAATCAAATCAAATGATTAGCTGGACTATTCAGCCTCTACAACATTTGCTGAATGAATAACCAACTCAGTTCAGTAATTAATCCCAAACCGTTCAATCAAGAGTTTAAATTTATGTTTTTGCTTTAGTTTTAGGTGCAGGTTTTTATAATCCTGTAAAGTGTGAAACACCTTTGCTACAAGATTATCAATCTCTTAATTAAAAAATAATCTACAAACAAGTCAATTAACAAAATGTTATGAGAAATAGTTGAGTTTTAATTTCATATTTGCACTATTTCCAATTTATTTAAAATGTGCAATAGTTGTTTATTAGTAAATAAAATATGCTTTTTGAGAAATGTTAATTTTATTCAAGTGTTTCTTATCAGAAAAAATAAATAAATAAATAAATAACTCTTTATTGTTTGTTATGTTCATCCCTTTTGTGATGACACTGTTAGCTTTGGTTTCTTCCACATATCATCTAAAACCGGTCTTATGAATATACTGTAATTATGACTTAAGTTCTTTTATGGCCATCGGCTCTAATAAAAAAAAAAAGAGGACTGGGACAATCATATCATAGATGTAGAACAAATCTGCAGCAATTGTGTGATTCCATAAAATCAACAAAAAGAATAACTAAATTAAAATCTGGGTTTTACAAACACAGTTTTACAGATTTTCTCAGTTTATCCTGTCTTCTCACTATAGTTATGCTGCTGTAGTTAAAAGCCTTCAGCTGATCCAAAATGCTGCAGCCAGAGTTCTGATGTAAATTAAAGAGAGATCATATCTCTCATATCCTGGCTTCTCTTCATTGGCTTCCTGTTAAATCAAGAATAGAATTTAAAATCCTCCTTCTCACATA